GCTTCTCTGGGCAACCTGCTCACCACTCTCACATTGAAAAATTTCTTCCCAATATCCCATCTAACCCTGCCCTCTGACAGTGGGAAGCCATTTCCCCTTGTCCTGTCTCTCCATCCCTTGTCACTGGAAGGGGCTCTCAGGTCTCCCTGGAGCCTTCTCCAGGTGAACCCCCCCAGCTCTCCCAGCCTGGCTCCAGAGCAGAGGAGCTCCAGCCCCGGGAGCATCTCCGTGGCTTCCTCTGGACCTGCTCTAGCAGCTCCAGAGAGGGAAGATGCTGATGGGACAAGGAAAGGCTGAGGGAGGTGGGGCTGTTTAGTCTCGAGAGGAGACACTGAGAGGGCACCTCCCTAGCGTGTGTCAGGATCTGCAGGGAGGGGGCAGAGGATGGACCAGGCTCTGCTCGATGGGGGGGGGGCAGCAATAGGATAAGAGAACAGGCAGGAACTTATGCCCAGGAAGTTCCACCTGGACATGAGGAAGAACTTCTTTCCTGTGCAGTGACTGAGCACTGAACAGGCTGCCCAGGGAGGGGGTGGAGTGTCTCTGGGGATATTCCAGAACCTCCTGGACACGATCCTGTGCCATGTGCTCTGGGATAACCCTGCTTGAGCAGGGAGGTGGGACCAGATGCCCCACTGTGGTCCCTTCCAAGCTGAACCATTCTGGGATTCCTGCTTGAGGAAGGAGCAAAGCTGCCCAGACAGAGGCCATTCCTGATGTCCTGAGCCACAGCATCGCCCTGTCCCTCCCCAGCACACTGCCCTGCTCCTGCCCCTTCCTGGCCTTGTGTGAGGGCCAGGGGGGATTAGGCAGACAATTGGGGGTCAAAGTTCAACCCTGAGTGCAGGATTTAGAGGAAAGCCCTGATCCTCCGAAGGCAAAGAGCAGAGTGGCATAAGGAGGTGTATTGAAAAGGCTGGAAGGCAAACAAAGCAAAATCAGATATTGAATCTGCCCATCTGAAGACTTTTGTGAGTCTTAAGTCTCACAAGATGTGAAGCAGTGAGGAGCTGTTACTTTGTGGGACATAAAATGACTGTGCCCCAGTTTGTGGTGGCTGAAAAGTTTCCCAATGCTGTACCTTGGATAAACATTGTCAGTCCCAGCGGAGCTGAGATTTCTTCCTGGTAGCATTTGTGAGACTTGTTAGAGGATTTCACAAGCACTTTTCAGTGATAGGACATGAAGTTCTGGTTGCTTCTCTGCACCCACACCCTTGGGATTGGGATAGCTTTGGAATCTCACCAGGGATCTCATTTTATGGTCAGGGAGGCTGAGCTCAGACGGCCTAGTGGCTGCTTCTGGCCGTGCTGGGCTGGCACCCCATGCGTTGTCCCCCACTCCCGTGAGGTGACCACGGTGGACCAGCAGCTGTGATCAGCCTTTCTCCCATGCAGCTCCACCTCCTCCATCTGTGGAACTGCGTCATGTTCATGGGGAGCACGACAGCTGCTGACAGGGAAAAGCAGCACCAGGAGCGCAGGGAATATTTAGCTTCTTTTAATTGAGAAGCATTTTGAGTTAAAAAGTTAATCACGCTGTCGGCTTTTGTTCCTTATTTCTTCTCTGCCTCACAGCTTTTTCTGTCAACTAAAAATAAGCTGAACCAGCAAACAAAACATGAGAAATCAGCTCCCCACAGAGAGCTCAGATCGCAGCAGAAGATGCTCCTTGAGTGAGCTGCGGTGCAGAGTCCCCTCAGGTAGATCCTGTTCTTTCCAGACATGGCAGGGTTACGTTTGAAGGACAGGTATAGCCAAAACGTGGGTGGGCACAGGGAGGCGGGAGGTGAGGTTTTCAGAAGCAGTAAACCTTGGCCTGGTTTGTCCCCTCTGGAATAGGATGGCAGGACATCCAGGTGGTTTTGTCACTGATAGAGAAACCAGATCAGAGGCTGACGAGTGTGTAGTAGGACACACATTACCTAAACATGGCCACTTCTCCAAAAGATCAGGTTGGATTCACCATGCTAAACACAGGTGCACTTCCTTGGAAAGCCATTACAGTGAAGAGTCAGTTCCTGCAGAGGAGAAGGCTGATTAGTGCATTATTTGATCACTATTTCCAGCTTCTGAGCTGGATTTCCCTTGGAGAGGGACTTTTCACAAGAGCATGTAGTGATAGGACAAGGGGGAATATCCTTAAACTGGTGAAGGCCAGGTTCAGATTAGGTATTGCGAAGAAATCCTTGGCTGAGAGGGTGCTGAGGCCCTGGCACAGGTTGCCCAGAGAAGCTGTGGCTGCTCCATCCCTGGAAGTGCCCAAGGCCAGGTTGGACAGAGCTTGGAGCAACCTGAGCTGGTGGAAGCTGTCCCTGCCTGTGGCAGGGGATTGGATTGAGATGAGCTTTAATGTCCCTCCCAAACCATTCTGGGCTTCTCTGATTTCCCTTATTTATCCTGCCTCTTTCTCCACTGAAGAGCAGGTAGAGGGTTGCATTTCTCCTCAATCAGAAAGCCTCCTTGCTCCCTTCACTTCTGGCTGTGGAAATGAGGGTAAATACAACAAAGATGTTTGGTTTGCCTTGATTGCTGTGATTTAAACAAGACTCAACACAAGGGTAACACTTACTTGCTGTTCTGCCAAACCTGGGATTCTCCAGGCATTGGAGATGCTCCAGTTTCACTCAAGGTGGTGATCCCTCTTCTGAAGAGATCCGAGGGCCTGAGACCATCTAAGCAATACATTCAACAGCAACATTCCCCCAGAAAACCTGAAAATTTGCTGAAAATACCTTTTAGCCAGGCAAATATCAGCTTGCACTTTCTCAAGTCCATGTGAGAGAAAGAGGATACACAGATTATCATTCACTCACTGCCTCAGGCACTTCAGTTTTTAAAGCCTCTTCAGAAATCTATGAAAGTCTCTTTAGAACTAGTCCATTTTTCCACTCTAATTTGTTAATGGATTGCAATCAGACTCAAATGTACAGATTTTAAGGAAAGAGCAAAGATGAAGAATTTCGGTCAAATAGGACTTGGAGACAGTGATATAAACCTATATGAATGTAACATCCCCTCTAAACTCTTCAGTCAGTGAACAGGTTAACAAACAGCTAAGTTTAGGCATTCAGAGTTTTCAGTCTGGTGAAAAAGTTGCAGACAAGCCCCTGAACGCTGGAGGTTGCATTACATGCTGTTGCAAAAGTAATATCATTTATCTGGACAGTAAAGTGACATCTGTCTCATTTCACAGCAGAACTCTTTGGTTTGCAGAGGTTTTTCTAACCAACACTGTCCAAGATAGTTCCAGACTTGAAAAGAAAATGCCTGTGCTGTCATAGGGCCACATGAAAGTTAGTTAGCCAAGCTGAAACCTGAGAGTAATTAGCTCGGCTGCAGAAAGGTCCCAGCTATGCTGCCTTCAGGATCCAGCGTTTCTGCAGGGCCTTGTGGATACGAGAGTAGCTGTGGCTTGGGAAAAAGGGAGTCATTTCACTACAATTTTTATTTAGTCTGTGATTATTCAATCGGTGGACATGGGAATTTTATATTATAGTGGCCATAAAATGTATTCTGGCAGTTTTAAAGCGGCATCTTTCCTGCAGTTTGAAGGGCAAATGAAAGTAATCTGGGCTATTTACTGCATGGAAGGCTCAAATACTCCATGAATGCTCCTGGCAAATCTCTCCCTGTTGTCATAAGGCTGAAGTGCTGAGAAGGGAGGAGAGAAAATTTTCTCTGGAAAGAGCCAATTCTCAATTGAAATAGTCCTACCAGTCTTTGTAACGTTTCCCATCCCACTTTTGAAAGGTGAGATAATTCAGCTCTTTGTTACACCTTTAGTATAATATAATGATAACTGGTCTGGAGAAGGAGCTGCTCTCCAGGGGAGGAAAGAGCTCCTCCAAATCCACAAATCCAGCTGCAAATTGGGTGGAAGTGTTTGTCTGAGATCCCAAGACAATGAGGGAAAAGTTTTATGTCAGGACATCTCAACATGTTCTCTGGTAGCCACATCCCATTCCTGTAGGTATTTCCACATAGCATTACTGATGCAATCCCTGTGTTTTACACTCATACTAACATTTATTAACAATGCTGTGGGGCTGCAAATCAGCACTGAAGAGCTGGACATCTGTGGATACCCATCCTTTCTCCAAACTGTGTTTCTCTATCAGAAGGAACATGCTTGGGAAACATCCCAAGAGCGAAACCCTTCCCTTGCAAATCACGACATGGAACATCCCAAAAGTGAAACCTTTCCCTTGCAAATCGGGCCATGGAACACCTTGAGAGTGAAACCCTTCCCTTGTATATCAAGGCATGGAGTTACCACGAGGTGGCATCAAACTCATGTGATGGGGCATCGAACCTTCAGTTTTCAGGCGTTTTTCCAGTTTGAGGACATCCCAGTGCAGCATTCCGAAGCCAGAAGGGGTGCACTGATATTTTGGAACCAGAAGCTCTAATTTCACAAATCTGCATGTTTTGTTAGGTGTAATTTGACTGCCCTCCATGAGTAGCACTATTCTAGGGCGGTACCTGAATGTAAACCAGGTAAATTAACCTGTATGAAATAGGTTAATGCAGTGCTTTCCAAAATCCAGGGCTGGTCCCACCAAGGCAGAGGAAGGGTGAACATGGCTTTTAGGAACAAATGACTTGGCAAAAGTGTCCTGCAGAAAGGTTCTCAGAAAGAGGGCTGTGAGTTCTGCTGGTGCTCTCTGCCATATGCGCGCGAGGGCTCAGGGCACGAGGTGAAACCAGCACCTGGCACGCTGGGCCAGCTCACAGATGTGTGAAATCCTCATCCTGGCAGGTTTTGTGACAGGGCACAGCCCTTGGCACCGGGTAGGAGGTGGTGGATCACCCTGGTGTCCTCCTGCAGGTGCTGCAGAACCCAGGCCCCACGCTGCACAGCACACAGACTCTGTGTGCGGGGACTCAGGGTGGGAAAGGCACCGTGGTGCTGCAGGAAACCCATGGAAAAGGGAGCATGAGGAGTGATGCTAATGGCCCACAGGACCTGCCAGCTTTGTGTCTGTGGTGGTGTGGGTGGGTCCAGTAACAACCCAGCCCCCATGATGGGCAGACCCAGCCTGGGCAGCCCCAGGAAGGGCCATGGAGCAGTGACGGATGTCTGGAGGTTCTGGGGTGAGTTCCAGAGGTTCTGTGGAGGTACTGGAGGGTCAGTGACGTCACTGTCAGCCCAGGCCTTTCCCATCCTCTGGCTGGTTCCAAAGCTTTGCTTTGGGGGGCTCTCAGTGGGGCAGCTTTTACTCCCACTCCATTCAAGTGGAAACTTATCCCCTCTCCGGCAGAAAACAGGCGGTTTGGCCAACTTCTGAATGATATCTGATTCCCTTTAAACACTTGAAGAGCACCACTTCTTACAGAAACACACTTCTGTAGGAGCTAGAGACCTGGAGCAGAGCCAAGGAGCTGGAATAGGGATACAGCATTGCACAGGGAAGGCAGAGAGAGAAGGTCTGTATCAGCCATACCAGGACTGGCAGTCACAGAACAGAGCCAAAGGCTCTCAAAGCCACCAGACTTTCTCCTCCCAAGCTCCCAAGCTCTTGCTGATATGAGATGTTAAATTTATACATTTTTTTTAATTTATCTTTTTATGCCAGGTTTTCAAGATACTTTAAGCAGATCCTCAGCACCCCAGAGGCTGAGGTGCCAGGAAGGGGCTGTTGGGCCCATGATAGACAAAGCCACTGGCACTACTGATTAAGGTGAGCAGCACCTTGTCTGTGTGAGCACTTATTTCCCTCTAAGTCCCTAAAGAAGACTGGCCTTATAACTCCAAGGGCAAATCCTCAGAGTTAAAAGCTCCTGGATACCTCTATAGCTTTTTTACACTTTATCCTCCTCTCAAAACAAAGACATTCCATGCTGGGTCTTCCTTATCTTGCAGGACTGAAAGCACAACTTCCCTTCTGTGCATGAATCCATCCCTGGAGGAATTCTCCCCCACTCCCTTCCTGGGGAACTCCTTACTGTTGTCCCTCCACCACAGAAGTTACAGGCACCCCATCATTCTATTCCCAAAGGACTTCATTCCCTGCTCATCCTCCAAAGGGCTTGGGAAAGCTTCCCTGGCGTGCACTGGGGAAGCACAACCCTGTTTCCTGCAGGGATGGGGTGGGGACATGGAGTAAGGGGGGACACCTAGATCACTGAGCTCAGCTCCCCATGTACACAGCAATGTGGGTTTTCTTCAGGAGACACCCCAGAGCTTCTTCACTGCACACCCTGTGGCACTAAGGGCAATGAAAAAGTCTTCAGGACTTTACTACAAGTTTTATAAGTACAGGTAGAAAAAAGAAAAATGAAAAAGGAGAAAACATGTACTTTACTCCAGTACCCAAAAAGGGCTTACAAGAGAGCTGGAGAGGGACTTTGGACAAGGGCATGGATGGACAGGACAAGAAGAATGGCTTCACATTGACAGAGGACAGGGTTAGATGGAATATTGGAAAGAAATTCTTCCCTGTGAGGGTGGTGAGGCCCTGGCACAGGTTGCCCAGAGAAGCTGTGGCTGCCCCTGGATCCCTGGAAGTGTCCAAGGCCAGGTTGGATGGGGCTTGGAGCAACCTGGGCTAGTGGAAGGTGTCCCTGCAGGGGGTGGCACTGGATGATCTTTAAGGTCCCTTCCAACCCAGACCAGTCTGTGATTCTGTGATTCTAATTCACTGCCAGTTTGGTGCTTTCCAGCAGCTCCGGGTTCCTGGGAAGCCCATGTGATATCTTGGAGTCCAATCAAGAATATTTTCCTGAAGCATTTTGACATGATGAGCTCCACACAAGTGAATGAAGGAACTGCCCAGGCCCAGCTCTAAAAACTCTGCTCTGGATCTGCTGCTGATCCACCTATAGCCAGGCACGAACTCCTGGCAGACAGTGGTGCCACCTTGGGTTTCAGGACACGTGAAGGAACACTGCCCTAATTCCATGGTTCTGTGCTGATTACACAGCCTCAGCCACTTAATAGTGGATGTAGGGTTGGTTTTATTTCCTGTAAAGAACAGAGTGTTTGGCAAAAGAGGAGAGTGAGAGTGACAGCTGTGTACACATTTCACATGTTTCCAGTGTTATTTCTCCTCCGGAGAAGAACAGAGCTGTTATTAATAATCACCTTGCCAAGTTTCTGAATTGATATTTTGAAATGAGCTAGGGATATAATTTAGGAACACAAGCAAGGGGGAAAATGTGCTTTCAATTGAACTTGAAATGGATGGAGAGCTGTTGATGCAGCAAGAGAAATGATGGTGATTCTGGAGGGCTCTAGCTGAAAGAAGGAAGCTGTAAAACAGAGGTTTTCCAGACAATCCCACAATGTGCCAGAGAATGTTGTCCAAACACTCCTGGAGCTCTGGCAGCCTTGGAGCCATGACCATTGCTCTGGGGAGCCTGTTCAGTGCCCAATCACCCTCTGGGGGAAGAAGCTTTTCTTAATATCCAGCTTAAACCTACCCTGACACAGCTTCAGGCCACTCCTTCAGGTCCTGTAACAAATATTCCCCTGAACCCGCAATTTCCCACCCAGAATCCCGGTAAAATGGTGGGCGTTTAGATGTCTTTGTTCAATTTCTTTATTTTTAACCCAATTTAGAGGTTTTTTAAGAGATGAAGATGGATCAAAAGAAAACCAAGGCCAAAATAAAAGGATTTACATGTTGGCATCCTGTGACTATCCATGAGGTTGGATTGGGTGGGTGTAAAAGCCTTTTTTGGAGGGCTTTTTGCCCCATTGTCTCCAAAAGCTTGGTCTTTGCCCAAATCCATCATCATTTGGCTGTGGAAGATGCTGGAGCCCGAGAACTTTTGGGTGGAGGTGAAGGAGGCTGAAGTGGATGAATACACTTAACAAGTGTTGTTGCTTAGGCAGCACCAGAGCTTGCAAGGCACTGTGTGGCAGGAGTAACCCTTAGAAGTGTGCATTTGCCATGTGAAGGATGCAAGGTGGGCTGTGGGGCAATAGAAGTACCAGACAACATTGTCAGTGTTCCCTCTCTTGTCATCTATGACCTCCTACAGAAGGAAACAGTTTGAAAACCAGTGGAAAAGAATGAAGTGTTGAGGCATCACAACTGCAGCCTCTCCAGCTGTGACTCAGAGCCCCTCTCCACTCAATTCAAAATGAGGTCTCTGAAGAAAAAATTGTGTGGGGTTCCTGCTTGCTCTCTGTAACTGCAGCAAAATTAAATCTCCTTCCTGCAACAAACAAAATCCCTGCAAAGCCTTGTCCGTGGCTAATGTTACAGCAGCGGTTTATCTTCTTGCCTGTGTCCCAGGGCAGACTGCTCAGTCTGCAGGACTGACATTCATCTTATCACAGCCAACACATCTCTGCCAGCCTTAGACCCAGTACTACAATATTCTGGAGTTTTTCCTGCCTGCTGAGCACCAACAGGCTCTGCTTGTCACAGGACAGGCAACAACTGGGTGACAGGAACACCCTTTCGAGGTGTACACCACAACCACTGGCCAGCTGTGGTCACAGAAAACCTTCGTGGTCATAGAGCAACCATTTAACAAACACCAAAGGCCACATGTTTAGAAATGTGGCATTTACAGGCAGCAGCCCCCCAGCCCTGGGGATCCCGTGACCCCTCAGAGGCCCCCTGAGGCCCCCCAAGCCTGAGCAGATGTGTGCCTGAAACGCATGGCACTCTGGAGCTGCCCATGGTGTCTGTCCTCCTGGCCTGCACCCATGGCTTTCAGAGCACGTGGATCATTTTCCAGGATGTGGTTCTCCCAACCCATCCCTTTGCCAGGCTGGGAAGCTGCTGGCAGGGCCCTCAGCAGAGCTGCTTCCCTTCCTCAGGGCTCACCTGCCTGGGTCCAGGGGTGTCCAAATCCTGGACCCAGGACTGGGATGCTGTGAGGAGAGCAGTGAGAAGCCTTTTGTGGGTTTCCAGAGCTGTTTTTAAGCTCAGGCTCCTGCCCCTGGGGCCAGTGCATGAGCCACATCACAACCATGGCCATCTGTCAATGTGTCCCTCTGGTTCGGACCCAGAGCTGGGATTGACTTCTTAGCTTGACCTCAGACCAAGTCCTGCTGCATTAAGGGATGCCGTGCCCTCCCTTCTCAAACAGGGCATGTTTTCTTTGCAGTAGCATATATCAACACAGAGTTTGGATGGTGATGAGAGGGCTGGAACACAATCTCCTGTGACTTGACTTGGATTAAACACAGCCCAGCCAGGCTGAGCCCTGTAAACACGGCAGCTTCCAAGGAACTCCCAGCAGTGCATCTGCACTTCTTGGGAAATCTAAGCCTCAAAGCCCTGCATAAAAACATCAGTCACTGCCCAGGCTCAGCCTCAGCAAAGAACAAATTTATGCAGAGCCACGATGGAAATTCATTTCCCTGAGTTTTGCAGTGCCGGGATTTCATGGTGTCTCCCGTTACACTTCAGAGGCAATTTTACAAGGTGGATCTTTAGAGACTTGAATTCTTAATACAAAATAGAAGTGGAATATGAAAGGTTGAAGAATATCTTCTGAGCTCTCCACAGATGGAAAGAAACTGCTTTCCCTCATGTCGTTTGTCTCTTGCAAGTAGCTAATGACATGCATTAGATACAGGGCCAGATCCCAAATGTACTTCCCCAGCTGCCAATGATTTTCTTTATGGATCCATGGATGGTTTCTTTGTGCTGTGATCCTCTTCACAGCAAACTTTGCACAAGTGTAGGAAGGACTCTGACTGCTGCATCTGATTGCAGGAAGGTGAATCATTAGCAGATTTCTAAACAGTTTAAGTAGAACAGAAAACAGAATCAAGCTGTAAGGCCACTGTCTGATTAATTAGAAGGGCAAGGGTAAGAATTAGGCTGGCAGAAGTTTCCCATGTGAATTATTTTGCAATGTGATTGCAAAGCAAAATCAAATTGGGCAAGTTATGACAAAAATATTTTTGATTGCTTTTTGGTAGTTTTGGGTTTTCTTTTCAATTTGGGACAAATGATTTGGTTTGTTCTTTTTAATGTAATAATTTTCAGACACAACTGGAATCAGGGGGAGAGATTGCAACTCCTCCTGGATTCCATGAGGCAGGAAGGATTCTGTGCCACTGTGAGACACTGTCAGTTCCTTTGCTTTTATTTAATTGCACCATAAAAACTTGGAATGAATGCAAAACATTTCTCTTTCCATCCCAGTTGCCTTTGTTTCAGTTTGCTTCCCCAAAATTTCCTCTGAGTAAGTGGGAGTGAAACCTCTGCCTCCTGCAGAAAGAGGCATCACTGCAGGTGCAGCCATGGCCAAAATCTAGTTTAGAACAAAGGAACCGGTTCCTTACTCAGTGGATATTCAGCCTTCTCTAATGGATCAGTGTGGAGCTTCCCACATGTAATATCCAAAACACAAGAAGCTTTCGTGCACCTGGCCAGCCTTTGGTGAGGATGGGGGACCCCACAAGGTGCTCCCTGGGAGCTGTGATGACATCTCCTACATGGAGCCTGTGTGCTCACAGGGGAAGCTCTGGGTTTGCCCTGCGGGACTCAGAGCAAACCACGGCCAGAAGCAGAGAGAGCTCCTGCCTGGCACAGCCTCGCTGAAACGGGAGCATCCCTGGGCAGCTGTGGGCGTGTTAGTACCTTATGTGAGCTCTAGCTTTCACTGACACTTCCCGGAGGTCTGGGCTTCTTCACTCCCCCGTGACCTGGAATGGGAAGGCAGAGCTCTGGGGAGGCCTCACCTGCAATTTTGGGGCAGTTTGGGGCACTGCAATAAAAGAAAGATCTGAAGCCGTTAGAGAACGTCCAAAGGAGGGCAATGAAGATGATTAAGGGCCCTGAGGGGAAGCTGTGTGAGGACACTGAGGGCACTTGATGTGTTCAGCTGGAGCAGAGGAGACTGAGGGGAGACCTCCCTGCAGTTCCAACTGCCTGGGCAGGGGCAGAGGAGGGGCAGGGACTGAGCTCTGCTCTGGGGGGACCAGGGACAGCAGCCAGGGAATGGCTGGAGCTGTGTCAGGGCAGGCTCGGGTTGGATCTCAGGAAAAGGTTCTTCCCCCAGAGGCTGGTTGGGCACTGCCCAGGCTCCCCAGGGCAGTGGGCACAGCCCCAAGGCTGCCAGAGCTCCAGGAGCGTTTGGGTGATCCTCTGGGGCACAGGGTGGGACTGTTGGGGATGGGCCTGTGCAAGGCCAGGAGTTGGACTCGATGATCCTCATGGGTCGTTCCAGCTCAGCATATTCTGTGATTCTGTGATTCTCCAAGGATGAAAGACTTCTTAGCAATTCATTCCACAACAACTGTGATCTTTAGGAGCAGACAAACACTCATCTGCAAAGGAAAACACATCTAAAAGAGCTGCTCGATGCTGGTCAGTCACCCAAGTCAGCTTTGGGTTTTCCAGCCTGTTTTCAGTCACAGGATTACCTCATGGTTCTGCTGGTGCAGTACCTGAGTCACTGAGCAGTACAGATGATGGCACCACTCACAAACCTGCCAAACTCCAATGAGGTCCTAAAGATGCTCGAGTTAAATGGAAGGAGCCATTGCATCTCCTTTGTGTGATGACCAAAGCAGTGGAGGCCACCACAGAAGACACAGACAGAGCAAAAGCTCCAAAGCTCCCTTAGTTGAAAACTAACCTTGTAAAAGTGCATTTTCCCTGCATAGCCACAAAGCTGGTACAGGGTCCTCACCTCTTCAGATGCCACACAGGCTCAGCAGCAGACTGGTTTCCACCTCCCAGCCTTTTTCACCCCCAGTTTTGAGGTCCTGGGTGATTCCCACTGAGTCAGAGAGTAAACTTTTCACTTTGTTGCATGATGACCATGATGAGGATGGAGAGCTAACACTCATCCAGCCTAAGTTCAGACCTTAATTAAATCCCCTAACCTGACTCTAGGTGGTCACTTGTCCTGGTGGAACCAGAGCCTGGGCATCTCTGACATGTGGATCAGACACCGTGTGGGGCGTATCATCAAGAGGGACCCCATTTTTTAGGTTCCAAATGCAAAAAGTGGGGTGAATTCAGGCACAAGTGACATCCTTGATGTTGGAAATAAGATCTACAGTAGGCAAACCACAGGCTTGTAACTCAGCTGCTGAACTGGCTTTCCTCTTACTCCAGTGTAAGTTAAAATAAAAGACTCTTCCTGCAAAATCACCCCCCTGTTGAATTCCTGCTGTTGGCATTACAGTTGCACTGAGTGGTCCAAGCTGCAGGTGAGAACTCGTATTTCAGGCGCTGCACCAGCACTCTGAACTGGTTCCTTCCAGAAGCATGTGCTCACCTGGCACTGCATGGCAACGTGAGAAATCTGAAAAATCCTGTCCAGCTAGTCAGACACCAGGTGTGGAGATCACATTTTCCAGTTTCTGCTGTAAATGAAGATATTTTTTAAAATCCTGTGAAATAAAACATTTGCAAGGGAGCCTTGGTGTGAGAAAAGGAAGTCACTGATATGCCCGTAATTGCATTTCTGCCTTTATGAGCTACAAAATTAGCAGTGATTTCCGTAAGGGGGTAACAGAAGAAGCTCGAGCAGGCAGATCCAGAGAGACCAGCATGGGAATGTGTTCAAAGAGCTGCCTTGGGCTCAGCTTGTGTAATGCGTGGCTGAGAGCTGGCCAGGAATGCACCAGGCACGCTGCAAGGTCCAGGCTCTGTCCGAGGAATCTGCAACACAACACCGGCAAACTGGGAGCCAGGACATCCCTGAGGAGGATGTCTGCATCAGGAAGGAAGAGAAGAGCAATAACACAGTTGTGGAAGCAAAAAGGTTAATGGAGGACATTGGAAAACAGGACAAGAGGGGGAAGGATGGAGAAGGGACAGCCTGAAGGACATCAAGAGGGGACAGGAAAAGTGAGAAGGAGAAGGAAAAGAAGCTAAACCTCAGTTTTTAATATTATTCATTGTGGATAAAAAAAATGGGTTTAAATAAGTGTTCACTGTCTAAGTCCTGCTGTTGTCCTGCTGCTCTGGCATTGATTGTTCATCAGGGATGTGCCCACTGTGCCATGACCTACGAGCTCATCACCCCACGCTGTGTGAGGCAGAGAGCTCTGCTCTGCCCCCAGCCAGCTGTGCCCCAACAGCACCTCGCTGTGCTCCTGAGCCCTTCAAGGCACGGTCCAAACTTCTTCCAGATCCTGGAGCCTGATGGCCCCAGGAGGGTGAAGCATCAGGCCAAAACCTCTGAATGTGCCTTTCTGGCATCACCCCAATGCTCCAGCAGCACCACAGTTAAACTATTACCCTCTGCTGATATCTGTCTTCAATAATTATAAAATTTCATTTTCTTTGTGCTGATGCCGTAACTGAGTGATCTGGAAACATTCCCAGAGAGAAGAAAACTGTACTCTGAAGACATTTATTTTAAGTTTTTTATGAGGCCCCCATAGAAGACGATGCTGAGATGCCTAAAGAGGCAGCATTAAAGTGTGGGAGCTTCTCCTGCCAGAGGCACCTCATGCTGAGTCTCTGACAGGTCCACTTTGCCTCTAATGGGCTCCTTCATGCTGCTGTACGCCCTCTGTAGCTGATTGATAGCTTGATTTTCTGCGCTTCATCTCAGATGACTGTTAGTCAGCTTGGCTTGGACTTCTCCAAGCTGAGATAAGAGCAAAGTTGCCAGGATTCCAGGTGATCTCAGAGAAGGTCTCCAAGGGACAAAGCTTTCCTGATGGAGTTTCAAGATGTCAACCTGAAGCCATTTTCTAGAAGAAAATTGAAGTG